TTTATGGCATTTTGTTATAGCAACACAAAGGGACTAAGACAGTAGATACCCAAGTCACCTATGTCAGATTGAGAGAATTTGTTTATTCCTCAGAAGRCCTGTACTGGGCCTCAGAAGGCACTGCCCTGCCCTCCCCTGGAGGAACCTGCTATCCTGGGTTCTGTTCATTATACCTCCCCCCTTTCCTGGGAGTCTTACCTCTGATGTGTTTCTCCTTAAATATCTGTTGTTGACATAAAGACATTCTGCTGTGACTTGCCCTTTCTGTTTAACAGTGGTTTTGAGTATCATCGACAACTGATGCCCAYAGCTGTCCTTTACTTGTTTTCCCCGCTGAAAACTATCCTATTGGATGAATAGATCACACCTCATTTGGGCTCCTTTTGGGCATTCATCAGATTGCAGAGTTCTGCCACTGTCRTGTGCTTCGTGTTTCTCTGCATGGACAGTTGTTCCCTTCCTTCCAGTAAATTTCTCAGGATGGAATTATTGGACAAAGGGCTAGCCCAGGATCAACAAGTTTGGTCTCCAAAGTGTTTATACCCCTTTGTTTTCCCCCAGCAAGGGAGGAGTACTGACTGATTCACTCTTCAAATGTTGTGGTTAGATAGGGCCCAGAGTGACTGGGCAACACGATAAAGCCTGGCCTCCCTTCTGGCCTACCCAGGATAGGTGATAACTGGGTCATGTGGGTCCTGAGCCTGAGACACGAAAGCTAGAAACTCACTAGTATTTCCTAGATGCATCCCATGAGAACACAGATCCATTAGACCATGGAGACTCAGCAAACCTRCAGCACAGTTGGCTTCGGGGAGACCTGGAAGTAGAAGGGGTGGCTGCTGGGTGGCTTCAGCAGGAAGCCTGTGAATTCTATCTGCTACCCTCAGGTTGGAGTTTGCCTCTTTCACCTCCAGATCTCYACCCTTTGGTTGACACCTTTCAAAACACATCTACTGAACACCCTGAGGCCCTGTATTTGAGATATTCAGGTTCTCTTGCTTAATCCTCATGACCAGTCTATAGYAAGTATTACCATGATCACTTCCTTCAGAAAAGAACACAGGTCCTGAAAGATTTGGCAGTAGCCCAAGATATGTCAAATTGATGGGGGGAAAAACAGGTTAAGATACAAGGTAAGGAGCATTTGGCAAAGGTTTTTTATTATGACTAAAAACACCTGGRGCTGGGACTGTGGCTCAGCCTAGCATATGCAATGCCCAGAATTCAATCCCCAACATCCAGAAACGAAAAAAAAAAGAAAGAAACTCTGATAGCTGACTGTCAATGAGTAACTTGCATTTGACCAAACTTTCCAATAAGAACACATCAAAACTATATAAAAAATTTTTTTTAAATGCTCAGCACCACACATACTAATAATCTCAACTACTCAGGAGGCAGAGGCAGGAAGACTATAAATTTGAAGTTAGCCTGTGCAACTTTGACCTTGTCTCAGAATAAAATAAGGGCTGGGATGTAGCCCAGTGGTAGATMACTTGCCTAACATGTATGAGGCCTGGAGTTCAATCCCCAATGCTGGGGGAAATGGTTTGGGAAGGTATCAGAGAGACTGAGACAGCTAGGATTTGAGAGGCCAGGACCCAAGAAAGAAGGGAAATTCCCTAGAGGGGGAACTCAACATGCTCCAACACTTTCTCCTCATGTTTGAACCCTGTTCTGATTCCCAGACTTGTGATTCTTCCCTTTGGTGCCTCATTTTTCTTATCTGTAAAATACAAATGCAATCCATCCTTATTATTTGCATATTCTGTACTTCTGAATTTGTGTATTTTCTACAATTTGATGCCCCAAATCAGCACCTTCAGGGCTCTCATGATTGTTTAGTAGGCAAGCTCAGAGTGGCAAAAAGTTTGAGTCCCCTTAGAGCACGTTCCCAGCAGAGGTGAAACAGGACTTTGCTCTGTCTTGGTCCAGCTCCCACGGTGTGAGCACGGGTCATTTTCGTGTTCTGTTCARTGCCATGTTTTCACGTTTTTGTGCTTTCTGTTGGTGATGTTGTTGTTTAAAACGGTCCCAAGCCTGGTGTTGAAAGTAAACACAAGGATTCATCTTGCTCAGTGTGAGTTATAGTGCTGAGGTCCCAAGTTCATTGTTAATGAATCAACAACAAATATGAAACCAGAAATGCACATAAACAGTCATATAGCCATTAGAGGCTTGCAAGGACCTAACCCTGTATTCCCTAGGAATAATTCGCTAAGCGAGCATTTGTAGCAACCTACCTCTTTTGAGTAAAGACAATAAAGTAGTACTATGCTCACAGGATTATGATGAGAACTAAATGAGTCTATACATATAAACACGGAAAGCAGGGCCAGGAAGACAGAGAACATTCTAGAAAGTGCAATAGACCCAGGCATGGTGGCACATGCCTSTAATCTCAGCATCTCAGGAGGCTGAGGCAGGAGGATTGCGAGTTCATAGCCAGCCTCAGCAACTTAGCAAGGCCCTAAGCAACTAAGAGAGACCCTGTCTCAAAAATAAAAAGGGTTGGGGATGTGGCTCAGTGGATAAGCACCCCTGAGTTAATCCCTGGTACCCCAAAAAAAGAAACTGTGATAGCTCTAACAGTGTTGTTATGTCTGCCCCCTTCTCCTTCAGAGCCACCTCCTTTAAACACACTCTCTGCACTTGGCCTCCCAACTCTCTCCTCTGCCCACTTCCAGCCCTGTATGCTCCCTCGCTCCCTCAGCCGCCTCCTTTCTGATCTTGCCAAGAATGCTATAAGCTCAAGATCTATAGCTACAGGTCTCTGACCACCAGAGTGACCTTTGAAGGGTATAATCTTATCATTAACCTCTTAAAGGTCTCGGTGTCTTCCCTGRATGGAGGCCAGCTGAGCTCCTTCAGGAGCCCCTGGCTACCCTCACCTCACTCTGTCACCCCCCTCCTACCTCCCAGGCCAGCTGCCTCCACGCTGACTGCACCACTGTTCTCCCTTGCTCTCAGTTCTCTCCTGTCTGTAATTTTGTCTGTCTTTGCAGTTGGTCATTTACAGCAAAACCAATGGTTATGAACTCACACCTCATCACCTGGGTGCCCAGCACTTAGGGAAGGAAAAAAATCAACAGGTCACATTCTCCCCTGCAGATCCTGCTATTACCATCTGTCAGATGGCAGTCCGCTTCTCTTTCGGACTCCAGCAGACTTTCGCCTCTTGCTATCTTTTGATGTTTTTCTGAGTCAAATTCTAGGATTATTGGAATACTGCCACATCACCTGAATAGCCTGCAATCACACTGCCCAGTAGAACCCCCTGCCATGATAAAAATGTTCAGTATGAACCACCAGCACATATGACATATGGCCTCAGGACACGTAAAATGTGGCCAGTGCTGCTGAGGAACTACTTTTTAAATTTTTATCTTAAAATTTTTATCTTAAATTTAAATAGCTACACGTGGCTTATGAGCACTATACTGAACAGCAAGATCTTAGTGAGAGACTTAGAGAGCTATTTTATTTCATTATAGAAAAGTGGAAAGCAATTCCTAAGAAATATTCCTGAAAAATTATAACATAGTTACTCCTAAATGTAGAAGTAACAATATAGGAACCACTTGTGATTGGATTGCAATAGACTGAAAAAAAATGGTAATGTTATGTTCTTCTTTTAGAGTTTGAACCTCCACTACCTCAACCRGATTCTGAATGTCAAAAAGCAGAGTGTCTATTTGATGCCTTTGAGGAACTCAGGAACTTCCAGCAACCCGGGGTAAGACTAAGACACCTTCCACCGAGAGATTTCTTCTCTCCTCCATGCCTGTCCTGTCTAGAACCTGTTTTCTCCCTAAGCGGCAACCCTCTCAGGTGCCTTTCCACATCATTAAGTATCYACCACATTATTTTTCATGAAATAGTATTAAGTTATATGGATGTTTCATAATTCATTTAATCKATTCCTACATGTTGGACGTTTAGGTTGTTTCCAGATTTTTTTAGTATTTTCTTCAGCATCCTAGTTAAGAATATGTTGTTGTAACAAATAGACCYCCAAATGTAATGGCTTAAACCAGTGATGGTTTGTGTCTCCCTCTCCAGACTGCCCAGGGTAGGTATTCCTCCATGAAATGTGGAGGGGCTCAGGCTGCTAGTATCTTCCAGTTCTGCCCTTTCTGTCAGAGCCTTGCTGTCTGCATTGTTTTGGCCTGGTCCCCATCCAAGTTCCATTTGACAGGAAGGGGGCTGGAATCATCAAAGGGTTGTAAGTGGCACTTGTCCCTCACTCACGCTCCAGTGGGAAGAACTTAGTCACATGATCCTTGTGACTACAAGGCAGTCTGGGAAATGCAGGCTAGTGAGTATCCTGAAAGACATGGGCAGTGGATTCCCTGTGGAAAGCTGCTGGACATTGTTACAGTCTATCCTATCTATCTCTGCAGCTAACTGATACCTACAGGACCTTCTTCCACACATGGATACACCCCCAGACTCAAGAAAGCCAACCAAACAGCCATGTGGTCTGCATCCACCTCAAAGTCCAAGATTTCTGGGTGACATGCCATTCTCTCTCTCTCTCTCTCAGGTCTAGGAATGGCTTCTTCTGACTGAGAGACACACATGGTAATGRCAAAGGACAGATTAACTGCCATAATACTCCCATTCGGACAAGAAACATATTCCTGGCCTATGGCAGCAATGGGGTCTTGCTGCAGCCCAGGGTGGAGGATGATGCTCTACAAATCCCTGGCTCAGCCTCCGGGAGCCTTCTCCTCGCCCGTTGCCCCGCCTTGGCTCAGGGAAGGCAGGCGTAGGAAGTGAGACTTCCTGGGGACAAGCAGCCTTCACAGCCCACAGTTCTGCTGACCACAGGCTGAGGTGCCAAAGGCTTTTTAAGGCTCTAGTAGGCAGTTTTAGGTCAGATTCATTTTTCTTTGCTGACAGGATTTTCCCCCGAATCATAGTATGCTTCTGATCTGTTTACTCCCAGCCAGTCCCCCATGCCAATACCTCATTCAGATTTCTTCCCTTCATRGAGGCCTCCAGCTGCCTATTTCTTTGCATGTCCCCATCCCCAGCTCCCTGAACCTAGAGACAGGCACCTTCAGGTCATGAAACTATTAAGATTAGGGACCAGTGATACCCTCAATTTGATTTTGCAATAGGGTTRGGTCCCTTTTTGGCAGGCCTTTGTGTTCAAAACCTTAGATTCTTCCTTTGACTTTCCATATTTGCACAAATGCTCCTTTTCACTTCCTCTCCTTGCAAACATATCAGTTGTTGCCTGGCTCTTAGAATTTTGTTATACTTGTTAAAAGAAACAGAGAGTCACCTATACAAAGGACCATTCTAACTATCCCCAGAGAGCTGTATGCTCAGTAGGCAGACTCTTGGCCATCCAGGTTTCCATAGCACCAAACTGACTGCAGRCTCTGCATGGCTTACAAAGCCTGAGGAGCCACACACTCACCCCCAGAGCGTCCCAGCCTGCTGTGTCTGCATTCATGACCCCTACCACAGAGCTCCAAGCCAGCACTGTGGGCTGCATATTTTAAGGGTTTGCTTTGGAGGCACCCATTTCTGGCCCTATTTCTAGCACTCCTCTCTCACAGATGTTCTGCTGCTGTCTCCTGACCCCTCCAGGCAGTCCTGTGAGGGTAGAGAGGATGCCCTGCCCTTGCAGAATGCCCCGATTCCAGCTCCCTTCCCCAGGGGCTCCTTTTGACCTCTGGGGAGCACACCATCATCCTGAGTGGCCCGCTCTGCTGTTGGCCCCTGTCATCCTCTTGACTTTGGACTCAAGAGATTTTTAGGACTTTGACTTTTTTGATCTAAAGGAGATGTGTCTCTTTTGGGTTCCTCAATTCCTCAAGACAAGTATCAACCCACCTTTCCCATTCTCTCCATCTTACCCTCAAAATGCCCATCACAACCTACCAGACCACCACTCTCTTTAAAGAACAGACCCCTCCTATCTGCTCAGTCTGCAGTCTGCCTCACCTTGTCCTTGAAGTAGGGGGCACGTTCAGAGTGGATGGCAGGAGTACATGGCAGCACATTAATTATCTGCAGCCACTGGTGTCTTACCTTAGTCCCATTGGACTCTCAGATATGGAGCTGTCTGGTGTACTTCTCAACCTACAGATGTATCCTCTCAGGGCCAAAAGCTCCTAGAAGGATTGCTTATTATAACAGTAGGATGTTCTGTTTGTTTTGTGACTCCAGGAATGGACCCCAGGTCCTTAATCAYGCTGAGCTACACCCCCAGTGTAGCAATAGTTTTATTATTATGATTCAGAGCCCATCAAATACATAATTTGGGGG